TCTTAAAATTGTCCAAGTTGAAAAATGCAGCTGTGCTGTATTCAAAAACAGTGCAGTCCACGGGCTGCCTGTGGGTTTCATGCAGCTTTCAGACCAATTCTCCAGAAATGGCACTGTGTGCTGCAATATTACAGTGGCAGCAAGAATGTCCCATTTGGTAAAATATAGAAATATTTTAAGAGGCAAAATATGTAGCCCTCGATGTATGATCACAATTTTCCTAAAAAGGTGAGCCAGCAAATCTTTTCTATTTCTGAGACTTATAGCCACCACAATAATAATAATAATAAAAAAGGAAGACTGTTTAGCTTTGAGTCTTGTATTTTCTCTGTGAACTTTAACACTTCAGCTACATACCTCATAGGATTTTTGCCCTCACTCTTTTTTGCTGGCCGTAATGAAGTGAAGGCTAACAAAGAGCATTCATCTGTTACCATTCCTCTTAATAATCCCAGCTTAGGTTATAAATCTTATTTTTAAAAATATCTGAAGCTCTTCTTTGATTATAGGAGCTGTTGGCCAGCTAACTCCTGCAGATATTCATCTTCTGCTGGTAAAGAATTATTTTTCATGAAGGCTGACATTTATACGGAATGCACAATATGCCATTAAATTTGATGAGTGAAATCTTCCTTACACTGATACGGTTTTCCATGCCTTGACATATAATCCCAGTTTTTTTAAACGTTTCAGTTGCCAGAAGTGTTCAACCATGACCATGATTTATTGGTAACATTACCTGGGATTTAATTAATCTATATCTCTTCTTGCCAGTTCTTTTTTCTTTCTACCCCTGCCTTCCAAAGAGCATTCTTATAAAGACTGGATGGAACCTGTCATTGCTTCAACAATATATCATTGTGTGTGTATGTGTGTGTGTGTGTTCATGCGCACATGCACCAACTAGCAAACCTGCTTCTTGGACCTGGTATTTCTTAAGTTTACTACACAGAGAATCATAGTACAGGTAGTCCTTGACGTGTGACCAAAATTGAGCCCAAAATTTCTGTTGCTAAGCGAGACAGTTGTTAAGTGAGTCTTGCCCCATTTTAAGAACTTTCTTGCCACAGTTGTTAAGTGAATCGCTGCAGTTGATTTTGATCACATTACCATGGGGATGCTGCAATGGATGTAAGTGTGAAAAACCGTCATAAGTTGCTTTTTTTTTCAGTGTCACTGTAACTTTGAATAGTCACTAAACGAATGGGTGTAAGTAGGGCGGGGGTCTTCAAACTTGGCAACTTTAAGACTTGTGGACTTCAACTCCCAGAATTCCTCAGCCAGCCAGAGCTGAAGAAGCTTCTTGGATGAGAAGCGAAACGTCTTCAAAGAAAAACAAGAAAGTCTAGTTGCCTCGTGAAAAAGCACCTTTGGGATTAAATGGGTTTGTTCTCCTGGTTGTCCATGATATTCTAGGAGTCTTTAACATCAAAGTTGAAAGACACCAATACTCTCCGTATCCTGCTTCTTCAAAGTAATATATGTGTTTCTGGTTGAAGTCAGTCATGGTGATAATTTTTGGAAGGGTTTTGACAGATGCAATCAAGGATTTGGGGGAATTGTTAATACTATCTGGGATAGGTCATAACTCTGTGGTTTTGATTATGTTTTAGTATTAAAATTCACAGTGCTTTTCTATCCGCCAAGCTTTTCCATTCATAGAAAATAGATAGTGCTTAGAAGCTAGTTCAAACTTTCATCTAGATCAGGGGTAGGCAACCTTGGCTCTTTTATGACTCATGGACTTCAACTCCCAGAATTCCTGAGCCAGCACTGCTCAGCTTGGAAACTTCTCCCTTTCCCCTCAGCGTGGCTGGCTCAGGAATTCTGGGAGTTGAAGTCCATAAGTCATAAAAGAGCCAAGGTTGCCTACCCTGAGTAGCTGGTTTTGGTGGCTGTTGTTTGTGGGAATTGTAGAGGGAGGGTGTTTTGAGTTTGGGGTACCACCTTCTCTCCTCCATCTCCTCCAAATCTAGAATTGAGCAGGGGTTATTTTAAATGTTGCCATTCTCAGGGGCATTCTTAATACTAGCTCCTGGGACAATCATTACTTTTTATTGAATATTATACCAAATACAAATAATAATAACAAATATAAATAAAACTTAATGCCATTCCAGATGACCCAGTAAAAACACAATAACTAAAAGAAATAAAGAAAAACAATACTTTAAAATGAAATAATACAGTATTAGCATACAATGTTGCTTTATTATTGATTGCCCTTGAAGCAGTCCATCTCCCTTACATTGTAACAATTTTCTACTTTTCTATTATAGCAAAAAATAATACTGTGCTACCTTTCTTATATAAATTGCCTACAGTAATTAGAATTGAGCATACAATTTTTCATGAGAACTGAATTTTAATTTCTTATTCAATACTGCCCAAAGGTGTCTAACACATTGTTAGCAAACGGAGTAATGCATAACGGTGTATCATTTCTACGTATTTAAGTAAAAGATCTTTGATTAAGATCTTTAAAAGGCTATGATATAATCAGTATAAATTATCTCCAAATAATCTATTATTGTAGGAATTAAATGACTATGCTTCAAGTATTTCAAAAGTTTGCCTAGTATTTCTTGTTCCCAACATCATCTGTATTTAACTGCAACTTTTATTCAGTTTCTACTCCCCACCTGCCTTGTGTATCATCCACTTGTCTTATTAAACATACTAAATTAAATATTAGAGAAGAAAGGGACATCCTTGACATGTCCCACGTCTTGAGTGCCGAGGATATAATCCCATTAGACATTACCTGAGGAGACAGAATAGAATAATAATTGTATCTGAGAAATTCTACTGCAAAATCATTTTTTTTCATAGTTTGCTCCATATCAAATCCCTTGAATGGGCATCTATCACTTGTAGAAGATTGATTGATTGATTGATTGATTTCCTGATTTTATTATTTTTAGAAATAACTCAAGGCGGCAAATATAAATACATGCTCTTCCTATTTTTTGCACAACAACAACCCTGTGAGGTGAGTTGGGCTGAGAGAAACTGACTGGACCAAGTCACCTAGCTGGCTTTCATAGCTAAGACGGAACTTGAACACACGGTCCCTTTCTTTCTAGCCTGGGGTAGGCAACCTTGGCTCTTTTATGACATATGGACTTCAACTCCCAGAATTCCTGAGCCAGCCATGCTGAGGGGAAAGGGAGTTTCCAAGGTGAGCCATGCTGGCTCAGGAATTCTGGGAGTTGAAGTCCATGAGTCATAAAAGAGCCAAGGTTGCCTACCCCTGCAAAACTGGGTTTAAAAAAAAATTTCATTTGCTCAATAAGTATACAAATACAGTAAGACTATGTAATCTAATGAATTGTAATTAATTTATCCAGTCTGTTGCTCGATTGCCATATTCTATTAGCAAAACAAAAGCAATCATCATTATTAACCAGAAACCGAGATGATTATTGTTGATGTGCTCTCATATATTCTTAAACCAATTTTAAAACAAACTTGTGAGGTCAGTGATTCTTTTTTTAAAAAGATCAATATATTTTTTGAGAAAATCTATGTTGGACCAGGAATGATTACAGTTTTGTTTGCCAGCAGTATTGATAAGGCAAGAACATAGTCTTATGTACATTTTAGAACAATTGTACTTCCAACTACTTTCTAATACCCATTTATAATGAACTGATCGGAAATCCTTTGTCTTTGACTTACGCTTGGACTCCTAGCAACAACTTTTTTAAAAAAAAATCATCAATAGTCTATAAATAATTTCCTTTCTTCTCTTCTGGCAAGTACTACTAACCACTGAAGCGTGACTTTAAACACTGTTATTTCCACATGAAAAGCTAGGGCAAAGAAATGCTGTGGCTAATAGCGATTAAAAATATACAAACTTGATATCTGCCTAAAGTCCCCGGAGGGGAAAAAAAAACAGAGAGATTTCCTAAACAGTTGAAGGCCGCTCATAAATGGAAATGGAATAATAAGCTTTGTTCTTAACAGACTGTTCTCAGTCAGTAGTTTTCATGCTGTGGGTCCTATTATGCTATTTAAAGAGAAATGTGGGAAAATTCCTCAAAAGATGATTCTGTTTTTTATGAGGTATGTTGCTGAGTATGTTGGATTCACTGTCTGTTCCCAAGAGAACTCCGTGATCAATCTGCTCCCCAAAATATCTCCCACGATATAGTACTTTGTGGCTGCATCTGATTTTTAGATTTTAGATTTCTTGTGGGAAAATTACCATACAGGTGGTCCTTGATTTACGGCCAAAACTGAACCCAAAATTTTTCCATTGCTAAGCAAGACAGATGGTAAACAAGTGTCAGTCCCCCTAAGCAAGTGGATTTTGCCCCATTTTACAACCTACCTTGCCACAGTTGTTAAGTGAATCAGTGCAGTTGTTAAGTTAGTAACAAGGTTGAATCCGGCTTCCCCATTGACTTGGCTTGCCGGAAGGTTGCAAAAAGGTGATCACGTGACCCCAGGACAGAAATACGACCAGATTTTGATCATGTGACCACAGGGCTGCTGCAACGGCCGTTTATTGTGAAAAACGGCCCTAGGTCGCTTTTTTCAGTGCCGTTGTAACTTCGAACGGTCCCTAAACGAGTGGTTGTAAGTCGAGGACTACCTGTATGGGGATGCTCTTAGCGTGAACGTTTGCAGTCCTTGGAGGCCATGAACTAATACGATTCGCTCTTCGTGCTGTTGTGCATATTTTTGCAGAAGGCGTTTTATCTCCCAGCGCTGCTCTCTAGAGTTTTTAGAAGACATAGTGGAATGTGCCAGTGCGCGCAGGTACTTGTCAAAAGCAGCATTAACCTTCCATTGCATGCTTTGCAAGTCCTTCTTCCCACCACCCTCATATCAAGCCAAAAAATAAAAAAAAAAATTAAAAAAAACCCAACCTAAGCATGCATGCTCGATCCAGCTATGACATCTGCGGTTCTTTTGTTATCCCTGAGGGGTTTTTATTTATCACACATATTTGCGCATTTGTTCTTTTTTTTTCTTTTCTCGAAATGCAGAACGAAGCACATATCCGGGTCTCCGCGACACAGAGGCTTGAAGAAAGTACATTTCATCAAGAATATGAGGCAATACGACACGCAGAACAGCAGGTGACCTTTTAACTTTCATCGAAACAAATCTCTGTGCGCAAAGCCGTGCAAATTTTGATCCACAGATTATTGGGGGAACAAAATGGCTGAAAGAGTGGGAGGGTAGTCCTTCTGGGTGCACCCTACTGGCTTTCTCTAATTTAATTAATTTAATTTAATTTAATTTAATTATTTAATTATTTAATTTTCTGCCTTTATTATTTACACAAATAACTCAAGGTGGTGAATGTATATCCACCTTCTTCCTCCTATGTTCTCCACAACAACAATCTTGTGAAGTGGGTTGGGCTGAGAGTATGAATGGCCCAAAGTCACCCAGCCAGATTTCATGCCTTAGGTGGGACTAGAACTCATAGTCTCCTGGTAATTGGCCCAAAATCATCTATCTGGCTTTCTTGCCTAAGGCAGGACTAGAACTTACAGTCTCCTGATGATTGACTCAAAATCACCTCCAGGCTTTCATGCCTAAAGTGGGAGTAGAACTCACAGTCTCCTGTTTCTAGCCTGGTGCCTTAACCATTAGACCAGTGATGGCAAACCTTTTAGAGACCGAGTGCCCAAACACTGGCCCCGCACCTGCCCACCCGCCCCCTGCCCCGCCACTCACCGCCTCCACGGCCCACTGCAGCAGATTACCCAGGTGGCTCAGCAGCGACATGGCGGCCATGCCCTCCACCCGCGCCCCGCAGTATCAACTGTGCATGATGGGGTGCAAGGCTGCCCGGCTGCCATGTCCTTGGCTGTGCTGCTCTGCGCAGGCCGCACTCAGGGGCGACTCTCCTCTGGGGGGGGCTGCTGGTGAGGAGAGGACCACGGGGGGAGGCAGGGCTGGGGCAATGGCACGCGTGCCCACAGAGAGGGCTCTGAGTGCCGCCTCTGGCACACATGCCATAGGTTCGCCACCACTGCATTAGACCAAAATGGCTCTCAATTTGGACCCAGTTGTCTCGCCAGAAGCTCCATCATTTTCTTGTAGAAAACATTTGAAATTAAACCGAAGGTCACGGATTGTACAGTATTGGAACAAGAAGCAATGTCTGTTCAATCTTAACCAAAGACTAATCTCCCTCCCCAACCCCATATTTCACTTGAAGTGTAAGCAGACGTCTTCTTAAAAATAAAGTAAGTTTTTTAAAATGAAGAAGTAGGCAGGATGTGACTCTATTTAGATGACGAGGCTGCCGTTGAAGACTGTTCAGAAGCTTCAGCTCATCCAGCCTGAGGCCACCCAAGGGAATTAATTGTCTATGTCAGATTTCCCCAACCTTTTGGGCACCAGGGACCGATTCTGTGGAGAAAGGTTTTTCCACAGACCTGAGAGTGCGTGGTTTTGTGTGCTACCTCTACACACACACATACACGTAATAGAGGTGTGCTCACAGAAATGTGACACATGTACCCATTTAGTAGGAAAGAGATCTCCAAGAATTTCTGGAGTAAGCTAAAGTTACAAACCTTGGTTGAAACAATGGCTATTGCCCCATATTTTTTTCTTCCTTGACAACTTTTTCTGGGAAGGGAGAATTGTCTTACTTTCCAGATTCTCTTCCAGTGGAGTGAATAAGGTATCTACACTCCAGCCTTCTAGTAACTTCTGTAGCATGGAAAATTAGGAAATGAACATTAGACACAACATCATGCCAACTAAATGTTTCACCAATATTGTCTAAGTCTTCCTTGCTGAAGGCCATTCAGCAGAGCTAGACAGTTACAGATGGCTTATACTGGGAACTGGAGAAGTTATTTTTCTAAACCTTGCACTGGGGAAAATGTGAAATAGCTTCATTTTTTAAAATTAAAACCTGGGCTTGTAATTGCTCACAGAAAGCTATTTAATAAAAACCCGCGTTAAAAGAGCTATCAATCCAGCTCATTTAGGAATAAAAATGCTACTATAATTCACAATCTTCTTTCCCTGTCTTTTCAGGATAGTGTTAATTTGCGCAAAACGAACCCTTTGTGTGGCTTTTTCTATCCTACCTTATGGAGAGAGCTTAAGGATCAGGTGAGAAATTCCAAATTTTGTTACAAGTACCTTTAACTCTGGCGAGCTATCAAGTTGTCATCTTTCTAAGCTTATCTGAAGTCCTTTCTCCCCACCCCCTTTTTTTTTTTACTCTGTTGGATAAGATCATACTGTTCATCCTTGCCATAATATGGTTTTGCTTCAGATTGTATAATATTGATGATTGTTTTAGAATGAGGCTGATTCTTTGTACATTATTTTCAGATTGTTCGGGCCTAGGATTGGATAGGATAGGATAAGATAAGATAAGATGATAAGATAAGATAAGATAAGATAAGATAAGATAAGATAAGATAAGATAAGATAAGATAACCTTTATTGTCATTTTTTACTGTGAGCACACTGGCCCACATTAAAAAAAACAAAGTATATATTTACCTATCCATATATATATATATATATAAGTGTTTTCCGGTGAAGCTGGTCTATCAGAACACTTTAACTCTTTGTCGGCAAAATCTAAATTTAACACAAAAATAGTTTGTTGCAGTAGCATCTGCCTGTAAAAGTTCCTAGATTGGGGTTCAAAGGCAAAAAGCAATAGTAGATTGCTTCGTCCCATATTTGGGTAGACCAGGTGTTCTGATAGACCAGCTTCACCGGAAAACACTTAATTTCTCCTCCCTAGTACAGCTGACAAAAAGCGAGGAGAACCTGTGGCCTAGAGGTTAATATAGCTGCCTAACATGCAGGCGGCCCGGATTCGAATCTCAGAAGGTTATGGCTAGCTAATGAGAGCTAAATAGCTCGAAATAGCTATACTAGTCTCCCTTTAATTCTGTCGGCAAAATTATCCATTTTGAATACTTTCTTAGCAGAATTATAACATTTAAATGAAAGTTTGACTTGAATGTAAAGAGTTAGTCAAATACTGTTAATAGTTAACATACTAAAGTGAGACGGGGCAGGGAAAAAAGGTCTATTTTAGCTGGTATAGAAGATAAGGTGCAATTTCCCCAACTTGCAACCATTCACTCACAGCATTGCTGAAAAAAGTGATTCATGACTGGTCCTTGCACTTACGACCGTCGCAGCACCTCTACGGCTATGTGATCGC